TGAGTATTGATATTAAAGTATTTTGACACTATATAAAATAGGCACTCAATATACAAGACTAATGAATTTTAAGATTAGAGCACAAAAAAAAAAAAAATTCACTGATATACTTCAGATTCCACAGTGCAACAAACCTTTAAAAAACTGCTACAGCTGAGCATGATGGCACATGCCTGTAATCCCAGCATCTCGGTGAGACTCCGTCTTTAAATAAAACCTAAAAAGGGCTGGGGATGTGGCTCAGTGTTTAAGTGCCCCTGGATTCACTTCCTGATCCCCCCCCCCAAAAAAAAAAAAAAAAAACCTACTGCTTATCCAATTTTATCCTAATATCAAAGGATACACAATTATCTGAAAAAGCTGCTAAGATACTCCTTTTTCAACTACATAACAAACTTATAAGGATGATTTGCCTTATATAAAGCCAGGCATAAAAACAATTTACAAAGGCAAAACAATGACATTCTTCTCACCTGATTTTTTAAGAAAGGTTTTAGAAAATAGGTATTGTTCATTTAAAAATGCCTTTGTTAACCTACGAGTTTATTATTTTTAAATGAATCAATTGTTTTAAATTTATCAAGATAAATACAGACAGATGTAACTAAAAAAACAAAAATTCTTTGGGGTTCTTTGATAACTTTTTAGAGCATTAAGGGATCCTCCTGTGATTTGAATGTGTCTCCCAAAGTTTTGAAATAATCCCAGTCCAAAAGTATTAAGAGGTGGGGCCTATTACAGGTGATTAGGTTACAAGGGCTCTGCTGTCAAGATTGGATTAATGTTGTTAGGCTGGAAGTTGGTCAGTTACTGTTGTGAGTTTAGCCCCTTATTACTTGCTCACTCTTTCCCTCTTTCATTGCATCATGGATGATGCAGACTGCAGGCCTACACCACATGCTAGCATCAGACTTCCCAGACTCTAGAACCACGAGCTAAATAAATTCACTGTTCATTATAAATTATCCAGTTTCAGATATTCTATCATAGCAACAGAGAATGGAGTAAAGCAGGTCCTAAGATCAAAAAGTTAAAGAGTTAGAGATGAAGCTCGGTGGTAGAGTACCTGCCTACCATGCATGACTCCAAGTTCAATCTCCAGCACCACACACACACACACACACACACACACACACACACAAAGAAAAGAAAGAAAAAGAAAAAAGTTACATCTACCTCAGAGGAAGAGGGAAAAAACAGCAAGAAAAATAAATTAATAAATTAAAACAAACACACACAGCATATCAAGGAGCATAAAATATCACACAAGGACACCAAGACCCAAACATGACACTTCCTTAAGAAATATGTAGGGTTTTAAATTGCATTTTTTCCAAGAACAGAAGGACTTCACACTTTGAATTTGATTATGTGACTCTCCCACTAAACTGTAAGCCTCATAAAGGCATGATAGAATGTTTTCCCCACCATTAGGGATAGCCCAGCACCCAGCACAAAGCAAACACTCAAATATTTGTTGTATTAAAAAAATGTTAAAAAAGATCTGCAAAAAGGGCCAGGGGTGTAGTTCAGTGGTAGAGCATTTGCCTAGAACAAGTGAGGCACTGGGTTCAATCCTCAGCACCTAATAGAAATAAATAAAGTTATCGTGTCCATCTTCAACTAAAAAAAAAAATCTACAAACAGAACCCACTGACTTAACTATTCAAAACTTCTAAATATAAAATTTTACAATAAAATTTACCTATCTACATAGTAATAACAATCATAAAAACTACCATGTGTTGAGAGCCTATTTATTACATGCCAGGCATTGTACTGGGCACTTTAGATTTTTTAATTCCCATGACAACCATGGGGTATACTTTACAGGTAGAAAGGTAAGGCTGTAAGAGGTTAACTTATCCAAAATTATGTGAAATAAGTAACAGAAAATTAAAACTATATCTTTGCTCAAAAACATTCAAGCCTTTTACCACCTATTGATATGGGGCTTAATACTGCTTGGTTACCTTTCTTTCTACTTCTTGGCAATTTTTACTAGAACCTGTTTTGTGAAAAGTCACTTTTTCTTCCTTTTCCCAGTCTTCTACTCTGTTCCCCGTCCCCAAATTCCCACCCCTTTACATCATTCAATTAAGCAATATATTAAGCCTACAACTGGAGATAAATGTATGTTCTTATAAAATACTATCAGAAACCTCATTAAGAATGGTGAGAGCTGAGGATGTAGCTCAGTTGGTAGAGTGCTTGCCTAGCAAGTGCTTGCCTGAGCTCAATCCCCACCACCAAAAAAAAAAAAAAAAAAAAAAAGGTGAAAACTAAAGTCTAAGGAAAAGTATCAGTTTCCAGAACACAAATTAAAGCTCTCTGACCCACTGGTCTTGCAAGATGGCTTCACATCCAGTTACACAGAGTTCACATGGCCATGGTTTGGGAATCCTTTCCCAAGGAACTGATCATGAGAGTCCCTGGAAATCTCCATCTCATCAAGGTCTGTGCCATGATTCTCTAATTAGAAAGCACTAAACCTTCAGCAACTTAGCGAGACCCTGTCTCAAATTCTTAAAAAACAAGCTGGGGATGTGGCTCAGTGGTTAAGAGCCCCTGGGTTTAATCCCAAGGAGGGAGGGAGGGAAAGAGGGAGGGAAGGAAGGGAGGAAGAATTGGGGCTGGGATTGTGGCTCAGGGGAAGAGTGTTTGCCTAGCATGTGTGAAGCACTAGGTCCGATTCTCAGCACCACATACAAATAAATAAATAAAATTTGAAAAAAAGAAAGTACTAAGATGGTATGTATGGCTGTCAATTCCTTGTCAGTCTCTAAAGGACCTATGCTAAAGAAAACAGAGCTCCAAAGACTTCCTCCAGGTCCAGAAGAACTTGAATAAACAGAGCTTTGTCTCCAAAGAACGTCCTGGCTACTAAAGATCACCCTGTTACCATTACTATCATTGTCCCTATGGTTTCCGAACAATATGTAAGCATTTCTCTTTCCCCCCTCTCTTTTAGTGAAAAGATAAAGAGTAAAATTAGCAAAAGTGAACTATTCTAGGAAAAATTACAATGCCATGTTATCTGATAATCTCACCACAAGCCAATGTTTTCCAGAGAGGAATACTCAGTTTATAAAAGTTTTACACAGAGTATGTTGAAATAATATGTCTTAACTCAATGTCTAGATTTAAGAAAAATGCACAATTTGAGAAAAGAATCTTTAAAAAAAAAAATAGCTAGCTGCAATTTATTAAAAAAAACATCCTGAATAAAAAAAAAAAAAAAAAAAGTATCAGGGCTGGCTCAGGGTAGAGTGCTCACCTAGTGCGAGTGAGGTACTTACTAGGTTTAATCCTCAGCAACATACAAAAATAAATAAAAAATCAAGGCACTGTGTCCACTTACAACTAAAAACTATACACTTATAAAAAAAGATATCAGAGGAAGTCACATACATGGCCTGACATTAGACATATCACTCAAAATCACTTTTACAGTGATATGGGCTTTGCATAGTCCTAGCTAGGCTTTGCATCGAAAAATCTAGATATCTGAATATTAACAAAAGTTAAATAATCTTACTTATTATTTTACTTATTTCTTAAGAAAGAGATTACCAGTATATAAAAGCTACAAACACAATCAAAAAAGATTTCAAATAATTCCAATAAAAAAAATTTACAGCTGGGCACAATGGCACACACCTGTTATCCCAGTGACTCAGAGGATCACACAGGAGGACCACAAGTTTTAGGCCAGCCTGGACAATTTAGCAAGACCCTACTTCAAAAAATAAAAAGGGCTGGAGATTTAACAAGTGGTAGAGTGCCCTTGGGTTCAATCCCTAGTACTGCAAAAAACAATAACATCTGTTAAAAAAAAAAATGAATCGAGGAGCCGGGCATGGTGGCGCATGCCTGTAATCATAGTAGCTCAGGAGGCTGAGGCAGGAGGATGGTGAGTTCAAAGCCAGCCTCAACAACTTAGTGAGGCTCTAAGCAACTTAGCAAGACGCTGTCTCTAAATAAAATATAAAAAGAGATGGGGATGTGGCTCAGTGGTTAACCACCCCTGGGTTCAATCCTGTGACCAAAAAAAAAAAAAAAAAAAGTCTAGAAGCTTCTAGGTGAATCTGCCTAGAATAGCCATTGCTCTACCTTCTCTAAGAACCAGCAGAAAACTGAACCAAGTACAACCAATCAAATCTTCCTTCCCAGGAACTTAAAATTTAGACACTGAGCTAACAATCAATTGGCTAGTGGCACTAGACCTTGGGTTCATCTGTGGCTCCAGGAATGAAGCAGCTATTTTCTTCCACTTATTTGTTAAAGCATAAAAGGCCGGACTACAGAAAGACAACTAAGGCAAGACAAAGAGAGGATACTTCTGAACAACTGGGAGTAAAATGCTATCTAAACTACCTTGGTTCCTGAATACATCCCAATTTCTGGTTCACATCCCTCATGAAGCCAACTATTCTTGGGTTCTTTCATGATAACTCGGCCCCTCAGCACTCCTGACCCAAAAGCATGCCTCTTCTTGTTTCCAGCTATCAAAAAAATCATTAACAGGGGCTGGGGATGTGGCTCAAGGGGTAGCGCACTCGCCTGGCATGCGTGCGAACTGGGTTCGATCCTCAGCACCACATACAAACAAAGATGTTGTGTCCGCTGATAACTAAAAAATAAATATTAAAAAAATTCTCTCACTCTCTCTCTCTCTTTAAAAAAAAAATCATTAACAGTTTAAAATGCAAATTCGCACCAGGATCAATGTAGAAACAGTATGTTATTCTTACAGTTCATAAAGGATCTAAGAGGTACCACAAAAAAAATTTCTAATCACTAATCATAACCTCAGGAAAAATAACGGAAACCTAATATAGCAAAAATCAACTTTTGAGCACAAGGATTTAACTCTGTGGTAGAGCACCTGTCAGAGCACTTGCCTAGTATGCACAATGCCCTGGGTTCTATCCCCAGCACCACACACACACACACATCACCTATTAAGCCCTCAACTTTCAGCTCCCCTTCCAGCTTACCTGTTCAAATGTTCTGCTGGTTCACAGCAGGAGGTTTGAGCAGATTTTTCCGGCCCTTTTAACACTGTAAACAATAAAAGTATTAATGTAAATCATCTAGCAAAGTTTAAAAGTATAGCTTTTTGTCATGAATATATTTCACAGGAAATGGTTTTCAAACTTGGTTAAAATATTACAATCACCTGGTATGTTTATTATAAACTTGATTTCCTGCTGGGTCTGGAAAGCCTATAGTCCAAGCTACTAGAAGGTTGAGGCAGAAGGATTACTTAAGCTCAAGAATACGAAATCAGTCTGATCAATACAGTGAGAGTCTCATCCCCAAGAAAAAGACAAAACAAAACAAAAAACTAGATTCTCTCATATCTGGAGACCTGGGTAACACTTGAGTAGAAATGAGAAGTAAATATTTTAAACAAAATTCCTAAATGATTCTAATGAACCAGACAAATGACTACCACTACAGGGCTTCAAGAAAATTATTATTATTATTGGGAGTTTCATTCAAAACCACATTATAGCCAGGCACATTATCTGTAATCCCAGCGGATTATGAGGCTAAAACAGAAGGATTGCAAATTCAAGGACAACCTCAGCAAATTGGAAGGGGCTAGTAATGGAGCTCAGTGGTAAAGTGACCCTGGGTTCAAACTCCAGTACCCGCACCCCCCCCCCCAAAAAGCATCGATTATAGGGCTTTGATAATAATCTTTAAAGAATCTTTAAAGAATACCTGATAGAAAATGAAGTAGCATCATGGCCACATGCGAATAATCACTGAGCCCCCAGAAATCTGACTAGCGCCAACAAAATGTCCAAGGAACAAAGCTACCAGGTGCACTTCCAGCTCCAAAATTACAACATGCTTTTAATACTGTGTAGAGGCAGAATCTTAAAAATCCACAAAATGGTGATATTTCAAGTGACAAGGAATAGACTGAACCACAATAGCCTCAAGTGGTATCTTAGCTAAAATCAAGATGCTTTGAATACTATCAAAGAATAATTTAAAAAGTTGTTAATTTTATTAGCAGCAAGAAAGCAACTTGAGAAAGCCATTTCCACTTTTGATTGAATTTTGCAAAGTAGCCATATTATAATGTTCAACTATAGCCCTTGCATCCTACCTTTTTTTAAGATCAAAAGGAAAAGGGGGGAGAACTAAATTAAAAAAACAAACTTCTACAGGCCTAACTCAAGAGAACAAGTTCCAGGTTATCTCCTATTGTAAGTACAAATTAAGTTCAAGTTAATAAACCCTGTAACTAACAAGAAAATACAAAACTGTGTTCTTTATTTAATTACTTTAAGGAAATATGTAATACCTTATATTTTACAAATATGTTCATAAAATAAAGTTTGGTCACTCAAAGAATTAGTCTCTTCATTTTTCTATTGCTACTCCTTTTCCCAACCTCACACTAAATTATGGGCAATTCATAAAAAATATAATTTTCCATTCCTACATTAATCTAGTATATTTCTCATTCATCTGAGAGTATGACAAAATAGAAAAAACAATAATCTGATCAAAGAATACTGAACACTTCCCTAGCATGCATGAGGATCTGGGTTCAATCCCCAGAACCATAAAATAAATAAATAAGCTTATTCTTGAAATAAAAAATTCCTTTTATTTTTAAAGAGAGTAATTCTTCAGGGCATTAAAAATGAATGGAAACTCCAAAACTTTATCAGCATAAAATACTAGTAAGAGTCAAGGGGAGGGGAGGAAGAAAACCTTGGGTTCAGTCTTTTACAGCAATGATCAAAGAATGTTAAGGCAATTCAAAGTGTTAAAAGAAAATGGACATTTAACTTGCCTCTATGACACCTGGATTAACACCAACATAGGCTGTAGATTCAACCTAATGAGACTGGTCCCACTATAGAATAAAACAGAAAGTACATAAAATTTAATCAGCAGGGACAAATAGAGATCTGCAAACAAACTCAGTTTTTGAAAATGACATCAAATATCTTTTTAGAAGGGACAATAGGAATCTTTTCACCCAAAAAGGTCCTCTTAGACAGCAATCACTATCAATAGTATCATCTTCCAGTGTGAAGGTCAATAAAAAGAGAATAGACATTTGGAGTATTAAAATGCAGAGTCATGAGAACAAATGAACTGATTATGACATCAAAGTAATTAAAATTTGGAAATGTCATTTCGAAAATTCAAAAAAGGAACAAGAGGGAGAAAGGCAATTAGCTAAAACACTACCTCATCACTACCATCATTGACTGTGTCCCCTTTTATCAAGGAGCTCCATTCACACACTGACCTTGTTAATTCTGTCTTCACATGATTTTGAGGCAAACCCATTACAAATTATTTTTCACATAGGCAAAAAAAATCAGCAAAAATACTTCAACCCTGAAGTATTTAATTCTTCCAGTAAACTAAAATGAAAGGACATTTATCAACACTCAGGAATAAGAATATGGAGATAAACTGGAAGAAAATCAGTAAAAAATTTTTCCCCAGTCTATTAAATATTAATTTGAGAACTAGTCTTAAAGGTAAAAGGAATAAAAAATCAGCAAAAACAAGTTTTACACACGTGAAACACTATAAAGGAAATAAATACAAATTAGTGGGAGAGTCCCTGTGGTATTTACAACTAGACAAAACAGTACAGAATTAAAAGAAATTCTTTCCGGATCAGTTAAAAATAACCTGCATTAATATACTGATTCTACCTCATTATATTCCTTAATCACCTATGTCTAAACTTCAAAGGAAATCCTCATTACCCTACATTTTCAAATATTCTTCAACTTCCAAAGATCCCTTCCTACAAATCATTCCTTTCAAAACTGTTTCAAGGCAGTCTAGCATCAATCTCATTTTAAGTCTTCTTTTTAAATTTTTTTTTTATTTTTTAGTTGTAGATGAACATAATACCTTTATTTTTTATTTTTACATGGTTCCAGGGACCGAACCCAGTGCCTCATGCATGCTAGGCAAGTGCCGTACCACTGAGCCACAACCCCAGCCCTTAAGTCTTATTTTTGAGAAAAAAAAATTCATTAACAATTTTCTAAAATATGCGAACATCCTGAATTTTTCCAAATGTGATTTCCCAGTCACATTTGGAAATGCTGGTCTATATCTCCAAATCTGATTTTCCTAAGAGTCACAGAAAAAAGGAAAAATTCCAGGACAGCGAATGCCACATCTCATCTTTGTACAAGAGATAGGTACACACACTGCCTCCAGCCTTCCAGTCTCCCTCCCACCTCTAGGTGAGCCTCAGTGCTTTGCCCAACTTGGTTTTTGTCTCACGGTCTTTGTCCTTGCTGTCTCCAAAAATGAAGCACTCTTGCCCTTGTCCTTTTTTTTAATATTTTATTTTTTATTTTTTATTTTATTTTTTTTTTTTTAAATATTTATTTAGTTTTTTTTTTTTTGGCGGACACAACATCTTTGTTTGTATGTGGTGCTGAGGATCGAACCCGGGCCGCACGCATGCCAGGCGAGCACGCTACCGCTTGAGCACTTCCCCAGCCCTTGCCCTTGCCCCTTTACTTATTCAGGTCTTTCCACAAAAGTTAGCTTATCCATAAAGCCCAGGGGACTCAACTTAAAATTAACCCCTCCCAACTCCCTATTATCCTATTTCCCTTCCTCATTTTTCTCCCACATCACTTACCACTATACAGATGGTCCCCAACTTAAAATAGGGTCATCTTATGTCTTTTCAACTTCACTATGGTACAAAAGGCAATACCCATTCAATAGAAACCATTCTTTGAATTTTGATCTTTTCAAGAGCTAATGGTATGTGGTACAATACTCTCTGGCAATGCTGAACCTTGACAGTGAGCCACAACTAGCAGCATGCAATTATGAAGGTGATCAACCAGTGTAAACAACTGAGACTCTACAGTAGTCTATGTTGTTAAGTTGTGATGTGCACTTTTAAGTATGTTAAATGCATTTTTGACTCAAAGTATCTTCAACTTGGCGGGTTTATGGGTATGTAACTTCATCCTTAAGTCAAGGAGCATATGTATATTTTACCTAAGTTCATAATTATCTGTCTAGAAATGAGCTCCATGAATGTTGGGTCAGTTTTTTGCTCCCAGCACCCAAGAGTGTATTAAGTACTCAATATTTGTCAAATGAATGAATGAATATGAAACACACAGTGCCTTCTCCCTCACCAACCTCAAAACTCTAAAAGTGCTCTGTCAAGTAACAAAAGGGTGTGAAGGCTTTTCCTTTCTAGTGAATCACTGCCATCATCAGTGTTAAATGTCAAAGGATCATATGACATTTTCCCGATACAAGCCACTTCTAATTTTTTTTTCTAATGTGCTCTTCTGAAATTAATATCTGATGTAAAAGAAATATACATATTCCAGCTTAAAGCAATCCAAAAGCTGCTAAACTGGTAAATCACGTAAAAACATCAATGAGAGAAAACATTTACATTCTAACCAAATCGGTCAAACTCTTCAAGACCAGAGCTGCAAATATTATAGGATGAAAGCTAATGTACAGAAAAGATGTCCAAAAACAAAATTGGGGTTGTTTTTTCCCCCTAATCTAGGGAGTCACTGGAGTGAATCTAAGAGGGAAATACTACATAAAGACAGAGAATCTCCCCTCAGTACGACACTGCGAACCAAAACTCCCATAATCCAAGGTTCACAGCACGGGACAGGAAGCTTTTCACAGGTTCTAGTCCCTTACCTAATCCTCCAGTTAAATTAGCATACTTACCTTTCTTTCAGAGAAACTAGGTGTGTTTAGGAAAGCTGGGGAGAGGACCGGGGAAATGCAAAGCCACGTTATTTATCGCCAAACACGGTCATACAAACCTGCTTCTTCGTACCCTCCTTCCCTGCCCATTTGATTTTTCCAGTCACAAAACTGAAGTGTCCAGAGTGGTTCGTGGGAAACTGCTTACAGTTAAGACTAATGCCCATTTCAACCTGAGGGGAACGTTCGGGTCCCCAAAGCTGCCACCGGCTCTACACGCCCAGCCTCGGTGCCGGGTTCCGATCATGGCTCCACCTTGCCTCGGGCCTGGTCCCGACCCAGTCCTCTCGCCAGGGAAGCAGTCTCCCCGTCCAGATGCTCCGCGGGGAAGGCCAGGGTGCACCTCCCGGGGGCAGGTGCGGGCTGCAGGGCCGGCGGGAGCAGCTGTCCGGCCGCAGCAGCTGTTACCCGGGCACGCCGAAGCTGGGCGGGCGTCCGGCCCCAGGGAGCGGCGAGCGAAGGCGAGCCCGCTGGCCTGGGCGAGCCGGCCTGGCGCTGCCCACCCCTCGCCTCCTCCCTTCCTCGGCTCCCCCCGCCATGCCACGGGGGCCCCGGCGGAGGGGCTGCCCGCTGCTGAGACGCGCCCGGGCCCGCCGGGCCCCTCGCCCGGAAGGAGGCTCCCTCCTGCCCCGCACCAGACCTGTCCCATCGCCTGACGCCCAGAGCCGACCGCGGCCGCAGCCGGGGCGGCCTGTGGGTGTCCATGCGGCCCGGCCGGGTCGGCCAAAAGCGGCGGGGACGCGAGCGCGAGCGGAAGGCCTAGGCGGCCCGGGCCGCGGCGGCGGGGCCAGGGAGCGGAGGGCAGCCGGGCTGTGGAGCTAGACGGAGTCGCTGGTTACCTGCGGTCCCGGACAGGGAGTCTCTCAGAACCCAAGTCAGTCCTCAGCCTCAACAACACAAGATGGCCGACACGTCGCCACGCACGTCACGTGACAGCGCGCTCTCGGTCACGCCCCCTGACCCGCCCCCGGCCCGCCTCACTCCCGCCCCTTTCCAGCCTCCCACGACAGCCTTCCTTTCCGAAGCTGCCCGCCCCACTGCCCAAATACGCCCCTGCGCGAGACCCGGATGAAACGCTGACAGAGGGCGGGGCAGCACAGTGCGCAGGCGCTTGCTGGGCCACTTCCTGTCCTTGAGTTGAGTCCAGAGTTGGATCCTGGCCAGGGACCCTGTGACTCACTATCCTATACACCCAATCCATGGCCAGTTTGCAATTCAAAAGTCTCCGAATAACTGAGGGACTGATCTTTCAAGCTAGAACTTTTCCGCAGCTTTTCGTCCAGCACTTTCCTGCCAGTTTATCATAGGCGATGGGGCAGTGACAAAAGCTGAGACTCAAAGCAATTTTATCTTTGAGGGAACTGGGAGTTCATTCTGAAGTGTTGGAAGACTGACAGCTGGGAAGGACTTAGAGCTCAGACTCCCGCCCAGTATCACTGGGCCTACAACCCTTTGCTTCAGTGCTCCGTTTTGGGGTAAAACACGGGACACCCAGCAATATTTGGAACATAAACTAAGAGGGTTTTTTTTCCCAAAAATTCAAGTTTAACTGGCATCCCTGGTTGTGTGTGTGTTGTTGTTGTTGTTGTTGTTGGCAGAGCTGAGGACTGCACCCAGGGCCTTATGTATGCTACCACTGAGCTATATCCCCAAGCCTGGGCATCCCATGTTTTGATTCGTTAAATCTGGTAACTTTACCCTTCCCATGTCATAATTCTTTCCTGTGCCATCTGTCTCTCCCCTTCTACAAGATCTTTCCCAACAACTTAAAAAAAAAAAAAAATCCTCAAATTTATCTCCCATCTTAAAATTTCCCTTCCAGCTACCTCTTTGTGCCTCTGATCCCTTTCATAGACAAACAAGCACGAAAGAGTTGTTTATATGCACTTCCAGTGCAATTTCTGTCCTTATCTATTATACATCTATAGCTTGCCATAAGAACACCACAATTTACAGATACATTACTGGAGATTTTCGGTTCTCATCTTGACTTAGTGCTCCTGTCTTCAAAGTGATTAACTACTTCCTTCTTTCTGAAATACTTTCTTCCCTTGACCCTTATATCCTTGCTGCTCAAAATGGCCCAACAGGATCATCATCATCACCTGGAAGAATGTTAGAAATGCAGAATTTCAAATGGACTCCTTACAGTCCCATTCTGCTAAATTCTACCCTCTAACATCCATGCTGCCACCCTTTCCTGTTCTTCCCCCAAGAACGTAAGGCTCCAGATGTGCTGTTGTTTGAGGATCCACCAACATGCCATTCTGTTTGAGCCTTTGCACAAGGTGTTCCCTCTTGGTAATAATGCCATTCCCAACACGTGTCCTGCTTTTCTCCAACCTATATAATTCCTGCTCATCTTTAAAAGCCTAAACCATCCAGGCAAAATGGCACACACCTGTAATTCTAGCAACTCAGTAGGCTGAGGCAGGAGGATCACAAGTTTGAGGTCAGCCTCAGCAACTTAAGGCCCTAAGCAATTTAACAAGACCCTGTCTCAAAATTTAAAAAAGAAAAAATGGGGGGCGTGCTGGATGTGGCTCAGTGATTATGTGCCTTTGAGTACCAAATAAATAAATAAAAGCCTAAACCATATGTTATTATCTCTGAAGATTTTCTTTCTGATACTAGGGATTAAATCAAGGACTTCGAACATGCGAGGCAAACTCTAAGAGACAGCCCCACTCCTTTTTATTTTATTTTGAGACAGAGTCTTGCAAAGTTGCTGAAGCTGTTAAAAATGCAGAATTTCAAATGGACCCCTTACAGTCCCATTCTGCTAAGTTTGATCCTCCTGCCTCAGTCTCCTTAGTAGCTGAGATTACAGTTGTGTCACACCTAGCCTTTAATATTACAGGTCGTTGGCTTGCTAATACATGGTTTTGGTTTTGGTTTTTGGTTTTTAAGATTTATTTAATCCTTTGTGGGTTTTTTTTGTTTGTTTCTTTTTTCAGGGTTTTTTTGGTTTGTTTGTTTATTTGTTTTTGGAAGATGGGGCGGCAGGAATTGAATCCAGGAGTACTTAACCACTGAGCCACATTCCCACCCCTTTTTATTTTTTATTTAGAGACATGTTCTTACTATATTAGTTAAGGCCTCACTAAATTTTTGAGGCTGGCCTTGAACTTGCAATCCTCTTACCTCAGCCTCCTGAATTGCTGGGATTACAGGCCTGTGCCACCATGCCCAGCTTGAACTATCATTTTTAATAAAAATAATAAATAACATTTTTTTGTGCTGACCACCTCACTAAGTGCTTTACTTGCATTTTCTCTTGTAAATCCTGGTGACAGTGCTATGGAACTCTGAGAAGGCCAAACAGGCATTAGGAGAAGTCCTAACCATCCCCAAATGTCGGCCAGCACTTCCAAGCCCAACCTGGTTAATTGCAGAACCCATGTCCTTAACTATTTTGGCATAACACCTTTCTGGTGCTTTGCCACCTATGCGTTGCCTGTGGGTTTTTTTGTTTTGTTTTGTTTTTTTAATATTTATTTTTTAGTTTTCGGCGGACACAACATCTTTGTTTGTATGTGGTGCTGAGGATCGAACCCGGGCCACACGCATGCCAGGCGAGCGTGCTACCACTTGAGCCACATCTCCAGCCCTGTTTTTTTTTTTTTTAATCAAGGTAAAAACATAGTAAAATTTATCATTTTTATTGTATATTTCTGCAACTTTTGACAAATGTCCACAGGTGTGTGCAGCCATACAAATCAAGGTACAGAATGGTCTTGTCATCCACAAAATTTCCCCCAATGACCGTTGGAAATGAGCTCTTACTCCACACCCAGCCCCTGCAACCACTGATCAGTTTTATGACCTTAGGGTTTCCTCTTATAATGTCATATATGTTGAGACTGACTTCTTTAACTTAGCACATGCATGATCAACCAGTGTTGCATATGTCAGTACTTCCTCCTTCTTGCTGCTGAATAGTATTTCCCTGGGTGTATGCACCACTATTTGTTTATCCATTCCTTATCTGTGGGACATTAGGGTTGTTTCCAGTTCAGGAAGATTATTAATAAAACTTTAATAAATACTTACAAGCAGGCATTTGTGTGGACATAGGTTTCTGCTTCACCTGGAAACATCTAGGAATGGGATTGGTGGTGATGCTTCTTTAACTTTCTCAGAAACTGCCAAATTCATTGTCAAGAGTGCCATGGCCATATTTTTAGCCTTAAACTATACAGCAGGAACCAATTCTAGGGAATGATGATGACCTTGATGGTGATCAAAGCTGACAAAGCCCCATGGTTTTAGCCACTATTCACACTGCATTCTTCAACTTTGAATTCTCAACAAATGATTGTCCTGGTGCAGAGTAAATGTCCAACAAATCCCTGGACACTAAAGCTCTGGTTCCTCTGCTCCTTAGGAAGGATGTACTCTGCTTCTTGTTTTCCTCACAGTCTCTCCAGTGCTTCACTAAGTAGTGGTTTTTAATCTACAACCGTAGGCTGATGCATGCTGGTTGCAGCATGCTGTCATCAGGGATGATAAGAAAGTTTCTACTTTACTTCGCCATCAATAGGAACAGAAGCTGTGAGGAATGGATCATTTGGTAATGGGAGTCAAGGCAAGGAGTCTGATCTGAAATAGTTTGATTTGTAATGAAGTCAGGCCCATCACTTGGGACAGATTGCTTTTTCTGAAGATGGCTGTGATATCTTCCACTTGACATACTCTTCTAGACCATTTACTACACTTTCAAGAGGTAGAGTCAAGTTCCCTTCCCCTTTGCCCTTCTAGCCAGTGGAAGGTGGTAGAAGTAGTTTGGCCAGGAGTGGTGGTGCACACCTGTAATCTCAGTGACTCAGGAGGCTGAGGCAGAAGGATTGAAAATTCAAGGGTAGCCTCAGCAACGTAGCAAGACTCTGTCTCAAAAAATTAAAAAAGGGCAAGGGACGTAGCTCTGTGGTTCAATTCCCAGTACAAAAAAAAAAAAAAAAAGCAAGAAGATGAAGTAAAACAACAACTCCCTGTGCTTGGTCATGAGAGGTGGTCTAGCTTCCACCCCCTGCTTGCCAAAACATTCCCTTTGGAAGCAAAGCTGACACCTAATAAGTCCCAATGGCCTGAGGCTGCCTGGAGCCTGACCACAAGGAAAGGCCCACAAGTAGTTGCCCTATCGACAGCCCTGACTGAAATCCCAGCTGACACCAGCATCATCCGCAACCAGACATCTGAGTGAAAAATGCAACCAGATGATTCCAGCCCCGAGCGTCTAGTCATCCTCAGCATCAAATAATGCCCAAGACATCACGAGGCAGGACAAGATCCTCACTATGCCTTGTCTGAGTTCCCGAATCACCGAATGTGTCAACATGTTAAAATGGTGGATTTAAGTCAGTAGATTTTGAGGTAATCTACTCACAGTAATAGTGACTAGAACATCCTTGTCATGGACTGAATTATATCTCTCAAAAACATATGTTGAGCCAGGCATATGCCTGTAATCCCAGCAGCTCAGGAGGCTGAGGCGGGAGGATTGCAGGCTCAAAGCCAGCCTCAGCAACTTAGCAAGATCCTAAGACCCGAAGAATAAAAAAATAAAACAGCCTGGGAATGTGGCTCAGTAGTCCAGTGCCCCTGGGTTCAATTTCTGGCATAAACAAACAAACATGTTGGCAAATTAACTCCAAGTGCCTCAGACTGTAACACTATTTGGAGATAGTTTATCAAAAGGGTAAAAAAAAAAAAAAAAAAAGAAAGAAAGAAAAGAATCACAGAGCACAGTGGTACCCGTCTGTAATCCCAGCTATTAGGGAGGCTGAGGCAGGAGGATGGCAAATCTGAGGCCAGCCTGGGCAACACCCTGTGTTGGGTGTGTGGGAGACTCCCCGCTGAAGTTGAGTTTCCTGTCATGGTCACGAG